TCTTTCCCTCTAACCTCTTTCTGTCATCCTCTGTTACGCTCAGAGTGAGCGCTATGGGGCAAGGACATGCCTCTCCAATTGTATGGGCTCATCTGCTTAACTAGTGCTATTAAACACGCACACACTCTGCACCAAAAGATGGAGGGGAAAAAAAAATGTATACCCTCCCACCCCAAATACCAGTAACCTCAGCGACTGTCAGCGAAGTTGTTCTTACCTTGAACAGCGACCCTGCCAGAGGGCACAGCTCACCTCCGTTCCACAACGCAGACAATGGTCAGAAATGCCGTTTCTGAGCCAGGAAAGTTGTTAACATCCCCTTCCTCCACAGCCTTTTCCTGTTGACACTCAAGAATCTTTTGGAAGTCTCTTCTTTCTAGAGTTTAGTGGTCATCAGTTTCACCTTAAAGTCTATTATTGGATCTGACTCCACCACAATTGAAAAAAAAAAACCACCCAGGAAAATCAACCTATATAAACATATGCTCCAGCAATAATCAAATAAATGTGGCATTCGCCTACACTGGCGGGAACAGAGCCCCCGCCTGCTGCTCAGCAGATACCGAGTTGGAGAAACATTCTCATCGCATTGTCCAGTCATCATATTTAATCTTCAGAAATGTTTATTCCTCTCACATTTGTGTCATCAGCTAAGAAGCAGCTTAAGGAGAAAAAGTAGATTGATAGCTACTTTACTTTTTGCAACAAAATATAAGGAGTGAGATATGTGTCCATCTATACATTTATATTTAAACTTGGTGAGATGGCTTGTGAGTTACCTGGTGTAACAGCCTTATTAGACAGAATCTTTTTCTTCTTCCTGTGACATTTACTTTACTAGTCTGCTGTGTGCTCATCTGGTACAATGAATATGAAGTATTCCTATAGGATTTGCATTAATTAACTGGCAAAAGAGTGGCTATTCAGTTAGCATTACATCCTTTTAGTTAGTGGGGTGCTTTTAGCGTGAGTAACAGAAAGCACTTAAATTGAAAAGCCTTTTTTCCCCCTTCAGTGCATAGGTAAGGTACTGATTAGAGCCAACTGCCACACTCAGCACCACAGGCACCTCTCTGCTGATGGAGGCTTTGGCAAGGATCTCCTTTAAAAACCAGAAGCACATCTCCACTTGGAGACATGAACTGCGTCTACAACTCGTAATTCATAGGTGCATTGGTTTTGTTAGCCAGCATTCCTCATACTTTTGAGAAGCATTTACCAGCAAGAAATTAGTATCTGCTATACTCTTCAGTTCTGGGAGGATGAAATTCCTGCGTGAAAAGCTGATTGTGCTTTATTTCTGCCCTATAATTGGCTCCCTGAGGCAAATGTACAGAGTCACGGGAACTACAAAGAAAAAGCAGGGGATCCAAAAGCAGAGCCCTTCCTCTGCTCACCTCAGAAACCAAGGCTGATGGAGGAGCCAAATTAGGGGAGGAAAAGACTATATTGTTTTGTACTTAGCTTCATTTCCATGCATACGTTAAAGCTAATTTGAGGTATTTCAATGATTCTGTTTTCAAGTGCACAGATCAAATAATCAAAGAAATTTTGCAAGATGAAGTGCCAGTCCAATCGCTTGCACATTTAACTCCTCCTGAATTCTATGTAAACTATTTTCATTATGGTGCTTCAACATTTTGGACTTCCTACCCATCTTAGTTCTACCCCTCTACACCTGCCCCCCGCCGTTTGTTTCAATATAAAAGCTCTTTTCCTTCCTTCCTTCATTTAATTCAGCCTCTTCTCTTTGCCATCTTCCTTCAGCCTTTGGCATTTCCTTACTCATCTGAGCTGGATTTTCTCCTTTGTACTCATCCCATTCAACAACTGTTGTCTTGTTCAGATGACCGCCTGCTCTAAACACCAGCATGGTGTAATTCCTCCTGACAGAGTAGGCCACGCATTCCTCCCTTAAAGACAGGAGACTCCTGGGACTGATGTACACACATGAGTTTTGTTGGTCTCGCAAGGACACATTCATGTGACAATACACCGGAGTGCCACGTTAAAATACAGCTGCGTGTGCTGGAGAGCTTCCCTGTCACAGCCGGCATCAGCAACACGCGGCAGCACAACCTGCCGGCTCCTTCCCTGGGCGTGCAGGCAGTACTGGTGTCTCCTTCCTTTACAGAGAGGCACAGCAAGATCAGTTTGCATCCTTACTGGGAGATTCTGTCTGGTTTGGGGAAAAAATAGGTTGGGCTTAAAATGGGGGCTCTTCATAGGAAAGGAAAAGGCCTGGCTTCTCTCTCCACCTTCTGCTGGGGGTGACAAACCCTGCTACGGAGCTGGGGGCTCAGAGTAACCGTGGCTTCTCTGGGGGAGAGGTGGAGGCTGTACCTCTGCATCCAAACTCCCATGTCAGCTTCTCCCACACACAGTCTCTCCACTGTTGGTGTATTTTCCCACGTTGGTCAGCTTTTCAATATGGGGGTTATTCTCTGGCCTAGCCCTTTCTCTTCTCTGTTCAGGCTTCAAATAAGGTTTTTCTTTCACTTCCTTGGCCACTCTGGTGGTCTTGCTTTTTCAAACCCAAAAAGGCAAATGCAGCTGAGATAAAACGCACATAACAGCTGGGGAGCCTTGCTGCTGTACCCCACGCCTGCCTTCCCCAGACCCCATCACATCTGTATCATCTGCCCACGTGGTGATTTAAGCACTCTCAGTTTACTTGAGACAGGGACACAGCGACAGCACGCGCACAACTCCAGACAGCTCAACTCAGAGTAATTCACAGTCACAAGTTGGAAGGGATTACGTGACTATAAAACAAAAAACGTTTGCCCTTTTTAAACTGAAAAAATATGAGTGTTCTCTTTGAGAATCTTCCCAATGCGAAGCCACTCTGGGATTTATGGGAACAACATGTAAACAAGTGCAACTTCCTCACAGACCCTTACACGCTCTGTCAGACTGGTGATGGAAAACCACGTAGCAGTTCTCTAGCACTAGTAAACTACTGCTAATTCAGTAGAAAGGAGCTTCCCTTCATCACCACTCAGAGACGCCGAGTTCCGCCTTTTGGTGACAAATTATTGGCAGTTGTGCAAGTACCACAAATAAGAAATCTCCTCATGACCTTTATTTCTTGTAAGTTTTGTAAGCAGTTGGGATCCAGTTAAACAAGGTCAAGTTGCAATCCAATAAACGCTTTCTATTCAAAAGTATTTGGAGAGTTGTTTCTACTGCAACACTTTCTACTAGTAAAATGTTCATTAAATACAGTGAATTTTTAAACAAGATTAATACAAAGCTAATCCTTGAAATAGAAAACATCAGTAGAAGGATCTTATGCTAATAAAATTTGCAAACAGGTACTTAAAACTGTACAGAGCAGAGACTTTGTATTTAAGTAGAACAACTGAAACAACCTATTTTTGAGGCTATTGGAACTCCAGTCTAATCTCAAGGAACAGAATGAAATAATTGAAAAATACCACCAGAAACTGAAGTTACTTACAGCCCCGTGGTTAAATCACTGAATTCAAAATAAAAAAACCTCTCTAATTAATGAAAAAAATACCACCGCGCTTCGTGTGTGTGAAATCAAATGCTTTACACTTGAGTGCCGTTGTCCCAATTAGATTAATACTTAAAGTGGTGTGATTTATCCCTTCCCTGCAATGTTCTGCCAACTGCATAATTTTTAGGCACGGAAGGTGCTTTTGAACCATTCTACGTGCACATCTGATACAGAACATAGTTCCTTGTACAAAGTTTTGATTTGAAAATTAAGGAAAATGATCAGGCACAAATCAATTAAGGGAAAAAACAGCAAATCACTTACAGAGCTCTTGCTTTAAAAAAATAAAAGCAGGGGAATTTAGAACGTATTTCTCACCTTGTTCCCAGATTACTGGACCACTTCTAAATAGGGATAAAGGTGGTTAAGAAGAGAGAAAACAACTACTTCCTACATTTTTAAGAATACTGAAGTACTTGGAGGACAGTGGCACAGACACTGTATTGCACATGTACATTCACTGGTAAATATTTTACTGTAGCTCCAAACATTAAAATGTTGGTAATTTTACACAACTCCGTTAGGTATCAGACCCAAATATGGTGACTGGTATAAAAAACCACCCTCTATTAAGGTATTTTCATTCTGTAAGGTCATCTAGTGACGTTTGTTGACCACTGACCCCTGTGTACAATTTCAGTTCTTTCCCACAAGCTATTTGGTAACAGTGAGGAAGTGGTGCAAAATCACCTGGGAGGGTCAGGAAGTAACATCTAATTCAAATTTTAGTGAAGATAGCAACTGAAAGACATACATTTTACCTGCTTTTTTGTTCCCTGCTTTTCTATCTTCTGATCCCCCACAACTATGGATGAACTATTGACTGGCAAAGAGAACAGAAACGTGAGCAAACAGGAAGTTGCATTTTATATTGGAATCATCTGCCTCACACAAATTTACCGTGGGGTTTGTTTACTCAGTGTGCCTAAAATAGCCACACAATTTGCTTGTTCCTTAGAGATCTGCAAAAGTTAATAAAATTCAGCAGAGAGTATAATCAGTAAGTATGCGATTTGAGATAAATACAGATCACAGCCATCTTATCTAAGCTTTCCAATTTCAGCCTGTTTAAGCCCAAATACCACTTTCATGACACTACAAGCTTAATGACAAAATAACATATGGCACAGTAACTTCTCCAGCAAAGATACGTGAACAAGAAAGTACTATAGAGGAAAATCTGATCAAATGGAACGTGTTCCCTGACCTAAATACAAATCTCGTTTGCGAAGGTCAGTCACAGAAACACTCGAGTACATTTTCTGTCCCTACTTTTTAAATTAAAGTGTAGCTCTAGGAGACAGCGTAGGGCATTTCCCACTCTCTGCAGTGGACGGAATTTTGCAATACCTGTGGGTGAAAAAGCCCAGGCCCTGTAGTTACTTAAAACATCGAGACATCAGTGTGCTAAGGAGCAAAGTGAGTACAATGCCAAGGAAATGCTGAACTGCGCAACGCAGTTAGCGACGGCGATTAGCAAATCTGTTCTTTTGTCTTGGCAAAGTATCAGCAACTCACAGGGCTGTTGGAACGGGGTCCTACTCGCAGGAGCAGTCCGTGTCCAGCCCTGCCCCATCGCTGCCATCGCAGCCATCCGGTACTGGGGCACAGTCTCCCCCCTCCGTTACCTGATGGGCGCAGCAGCCAGACGCGCTCTGGCTCAAGCACACCCGCGTGTCATTGTCACCAGTATCGCAGCTGGCAGGACACGTATCTTCCGACGCCCCATCGTGATGGGTACCTCTGTCCTTGGTCCCAGCTACTTCATCTCCCAAGTCTATGACCTCATCCAGCTGCTGTTCCGGATCAGGCTTGGCTGCTGTTGAGATCTGTGCTTCTAAGTTTCTTGTGTTCTCTGTGACTTCAAATTCCTGCTTCTCCTCTGCCTTTTGCTTCTCCCTAGTACTTAATTTAGCCTTCATGGATTTCTTCATTTGTTTGTTGTGCATGTCTTCTTTGGAGAATCTCCAGTGAAACTGCAACCAAGAGATCCAAATGTTAAAGACTATTGGAGACAATCTCACATGGACAGTTGCTTTCCTGAGTATAAATGTTTTTATTATTTAGTTTTAATTCAAAAACTAGTTTGACCAAAAAGACCTAAGATTAAAAAAATGGCATGACTAAATCAGATGATCATTTGTGCCTACACGTCTATATCTGGTACAGAGAGAGCAGAGCCTGTGATGCATCCTGCTCCTGCTGTTTCACATGCCTAGTGGGTTCCCCTCCACAGGCCGTGTCACCGCGGAGGCCTGCAGCCCCCGGCAGCCAACCCGCGCTGCGCGCAAAGCGGGAACGCGCAAAGCTGCCCCAGCGCAGACGGGGGAAGCAATCCCGTGGCGTCACCCCAGCGCTTCCCACCAGGTCAGCAGCAGGACTAACACCACACCCAGGACTATACCCAGACAGTACAATATTCTGAACCATTCGTATGAATGTTTTTTGACGAGGAAGCAGGAAGCTTTCAGCACTTGCCGCAAGACTTACCACAGCTGCCCTTCCAGATGAACTGACTGTTTTAACTGGTTTGGGTTTTGTTTTTTTTTAAAAAAGAGGGAACTAGCAGTGCCTTGAAATACTGATTTGACAGGTATAACACATATAATAAAGTCTGACAAATATGCCACTATTATATCTGCTTCATTTGTCATGGAGTCTCCTTCTCTGGAGACATTCAAGACCTGCCTGGACGCCTTCCTGTGTGATCTCATTTAGGTTCCTGCTCCGGCAGGGGCTTGGACTAGATGATCTTTCGAGGTCCCTTCCAATCCCTGACATTCTGTGATTCTGTGACCTTCCCAAGGAAAGCCAGACCATGCTCCAAGCCACTGCTGAGTTATCCTACACGTTTGCTAATTAAAAGTGAATGTGCACAACCATTTCATCAGCAGTGTCCACACTGATGGAAACTCAGGGATGGGTTGGGAGGTGATGCCTGGCTGGCATAAATAATCTCATCAGGACAGTTAGCAAATTCAGCTGTGGTCCAGAAGCCATTTTTCCAGTGCAACCAGGTCTGTGCCAAAGCTGGTCAAGAGAAGGATTCATGGTCATAAATTTTTGATTTAGCTATTTATTCCTTAATCAAAAAGCCATTCAAAAACTATTACCTTCATTAGATTACAAAGACAGAGCAGTGCCCTTCCTTCTGCTAGCCAGACCTTAATGTAAAAAGGGGAAAAAAAAAAAAGAAATTGGCTTTCACAAGACTCGTCTTGTTTTTAGGTTTAGAGGAAGCTATCTTTCCTCTTTCTCTAAATTGCAATGATATTTAAGTAAAAGATAACATCTCAGTTCTAGAGCTCAACTGTTTAAAATTCAGAGACACCTGAATATTTTCCTCTTTGATTTGCAGAAGTGCTGGGCACCCACAGCTCCCCTTTATCTCAAAGCTCTCCTTGATGGAAGGTAAGATCAGGGCCCTGAATGCGATGAAGATCAAACTGTAAGAGACTCTGTGAATGTGCAGATGTTACATATACTTAGTCAGGTATTTATATTGTATTTCACAGAAATGCATACAGCCAGTTTCTGCTGAAATAAACATCACTTTTGTATAAAGGGAATGCACACGACTACCTCAGCACTGACTGAACAGTGCACTCCTAAGAGCACTTCTGTCCTACTGAAGAGAAAAATGAGCTGTACCACTCCTTGCATGTCATTTGGCTGAACTGAACAGCAGTTGGTTGTTCTGTGTAGATAGGACGGGTCAGTTTCCAATACTGCAATGTCCTTTTAATCTTATCATCCTATTTCCCTCCTCCCAGGGGTCATCTATAAACATTTTAGACATTCTGTATCACAAGTTAAAAAAAACCCTGAGAGCCTGTGACATTGTCTGTGCAGAATATTCAGCAACTTAATCAAATGCTAGGTTTGGCATCTTTGATGTGACTCTCAACAACCACCTACAGATGTTGAACCAGTCTAACATTTCTTTATGTAACTATAATCAATGTATCCCATTTTTCCCTGACCTTTGGTATGAAAATGTGCTGTAGTGATTTTTGCCCTCAAATATGTCTGTATATTTAATACTGCCAATGAGTAAATCCTTTGTTTTGTCAACCAGACAAAAATAAGTTAAATAAGTTTTTATATCCCTGAATTAAAAAATTTAAACAAAGTTTTGAGTCATCTGGATGGTATGCATTTGTTATTATAACACAAGAAATCAGTATCATTCCTATTTCTCTTATTTGAAGACATACAATCACTTATAGGTTTCCATTCCTTCCATTAAAACCACACACAGTGGTAGGAAAAGAATGACCAAATACAGGCACTCCAACCCTCATCCCAAGATGCCTTTAATCACCTGAAAACAAAGAGAAAATACAAGAAAGATGGACTTTGTAACAAGTTCACAGAATCCTCTGGGCTCCAGCTTCACTAATGAGAGAGGCTAAATCCTAAATCACAGTCATGCTCCCAGCAGTTCTCTCCTGCTTCAGTCGGTTCAAACACCCTCCTGGTCTCCACTGTATCTAAAAGATGACTTTCACAGAACCAGGCTCCAGAACAGTGAGGGCTTTATAGATGAAAACTATCTGTAACTGTCTAAAATGTTGGGTAAAATGCTCCTAGTGCTCAGCTCTGCTTAGTGTTTCCAACCTCCTACTCTGGCTCAGCTCCTGCGGGGCCTCGAGCACACCGCTCCCTCAGGTGACATTTGGCTAGCCAGCGCTCACAGAACTGCAGAGAGATGGAATAAAAAGGAGCCTGTATTAATTAGCAACCTTTTCATCACATGGTTTCACCTTTCCATACTTCACCTGGCTTTTCTGATCCCTTTGCATACTGAAAGGGCAAGGCAAATTCAAGTACTGCAAGAAGGTCAGCACTTTCCCAGTTTCCAGTTTAAACCAGTTCTTGTATTTCCCTCTCAGCTGTACGGCGTGACAGGTTTGGGCAGGGGTTCCCACAACTGCACATTTAAAAATGGAAATGAGAATACATATGTGTATCCTCATATGTACATCATTAGCTGTCAGCTATGTTCTTGGATAATTTAGCTGGATTCGAGAGGCTTTTTTTGGTTAAATTCTAGTAGAATTAATCAATATTCACACAATAGATAGAAACACCAGCCAACATCAACATTGTGCTTGGCTCTACCACAACACACAGCAAGAAAGAGAGAGCAATTTAAGCAGAAAAGACAGGCAATGGGTGAGAGAAAATAGTATTGGTTCCTTCTTGCAGGAAGTGAACATGGGCAGAGAATTTTAGGTCACATACGGAGGTTTATGGCCAGTTTATGTAAAGAGAAATCTATGTCTCCTGCTGCCATGAGTTCAACAGACAACGAAATACAAGAGCTTCCACATCACTTGAGCATTTTTCGTTTCTTTCATTTGAACAGTTCTATTCCTTGTGTCTTCCTACTGTATCACAGAGATGTTGAATAGGCCATTTTTACTTCTATAGGAAATCAATTACAATATTAAAAACCAAAAAACAAAGAAACCAGGAACTCAAGGTTATTTACCTTAGATTCTTTCTTCTTTGCTTTCTGGGGCAAAGAAGGTCTCTGAAGAAATACAATTTGCTTTGTAGATAAATTCCCATCCCTGAAAAGAAACAAATGCACACTCCTGAGAATGAATTAAATTCACATCCAGTATCATTCAAAGCAAAAATCCATCTCAGTCATTTATTTCTGCAGGTCAAAGAAGAACAAAATGAAGAATGAAGGATGACCTGAACACTGCCTGTCTCCTGTGTCTTTGCACAGCCTGCTATTTTGGGGGGAAAAAAGAGCAACTGTTCAGCCTGACAGAGCCTGTCAGCCTGTGACAATTTTTCTGAATGTTTTAGCATTAGTGTGTAAACACAGAATAAATTGTTTTGTACAAAAAGCGAGGAACCCGAGCCCCACAGCGCCAGTGTGTAGCAGGGTCTCAGCATCACCGGAGCCTCCCTGCCCCATCCCAGGGCTGGGCACTCCCTGCAGGTCTGCAGCACGGTAGGAAGGCACAACCAAATCCACCAGTGCTGAGGCTGGGTGGGTGCCCTTCTGCACCATCAACCTGACCTGTCTTACTGGAGTTATAAATGGGACACAGAAAGTTAGAAGAGAAAGAAAATCATATATACCTTTAAGAGACAGGGCTTACAAATCATAACTGTGATTTTCTATTCATACCTATATTTAAACTTATATGCAAAACTTAAATACTGTTTTTCTCCTAGCACAGATGGCCTTTACTTTTTAGGTTTTTATGTGTAGGAGTAGTCTTCATCTAGATCTCATAAAGAGCTGGGTATATTTTTACTCTTTTAAGATAAAAAATCATGACTGATAATATTGGTATATATATATATATTCCTGATCAGTGAAAATCCAGAATGTGCCATTTTCATGATTAACAAGTGGGATGATTGTTTTTCACCTCAGTTATTAAGAGTGTTTTTAAGTGACTTGCATTTATATTTAAAAACTAAGAATATTAACAATAGCAAAGTAGACCACAGAGTGATTGCACATGCAAACAAGGCTACTAGAGCAATGATACACCAACCTCACATGGTCCTGATCAGCGGGACTGTGTGTATCAGCAGCAGCATTAGACAGACATCGATTAAGAATAAAATTACTTTTCTTTAGATACGCAACATCTCACTCCAAACATTACTACACATTTTGTCTTTGCTCTGAGAGGAGATACTGGGAGATTCAGAGCAGGAACTTTAAAATCAAAGAGTTTAAAGAGAGGCAGAAACAATACCCAGAAATTTCATGCAGAAACCACACTGCCACCTTGCAGTATTTTGCCCGCCAGACACGTGCTTCCTGCCCCACGCAGCTTGTGATGCTCAGAAGACCCAGAGAACAGCTGCAGCAGGGTTTGCACGGGCAGTTACTGTGTGCACGCAAGGACATCCATGCTCACTGCACAGAGAATTGCTCAGAAGGACTGTGGTGCTCATACAGCAACTTCCCTGGCCAAAAGGCAGTGCCTACCCCCTCCCTACCTGTTTGTCTTCACAATTGGAGTAGGAAGCACACATGTCAGCTGCCAGCCATACATGGCAAGAGAATTCAGCAGCGGAACGTAATCTGTCTGCACTTCAACCCCCTAGGAAAGAAAAATCAACAGTTAGCATCATCACTTGGAGTGTGACATTCAGTTTGACATACCAAAAAAAAAAACCACCCCACAAAACACAAAACCCCCAAAAAAACAACAACAAAAAAACCCAAACCAAGAAAAAAATACGCGTGGGTTTTCTAGGAGGGAGAAAAGGTTCTGAAGTGGGTCATTTTGTCTGTTCAGCTAGGCAGGCAGGAAAACGTTCGAAAACATGAGACACAGGACTGCTCGCCCGTACATCTCAAACTGTTAAATGAGTTTGTTTAAAATGTTGAACATCTGTGATCTTGTTTTTACACTGCCTGAGTCATCCATCTAGCTTTAGATTATTCCAGATCTGAACAAGACAAATTCATTGCATTTTATCAATTATCTCCTCCAAAGCAAAAAGATATTAAAGTGGTTAAAAAATGACAACATTGCTTTGCCTGGATTCTGCGCTTGTCTAGGCTACAGTAAAGCCTGAAGGTCTGTTCTGAAATCAGTCGGGTTCCTCTGCCATGAGGCATCAAGAGCAAAATAGCCAACAACAAAAAAAATAGAAGTACAGATGGATTCCTTTTATCACCCCCAAATATGCATCGCTTCCTTGTTGTTTTGAATCAGGAAATCTGTGGGCGAGACCAAAAGCATTGCCTTTCAGTGCAGAACCCTGGCTCCAGCACAGACCTACCCAGCAGAGCCTTGCTAATTCTCTTTCTGCTAAATGGCAGACCCTGTAATTCACAGAGAAAGAACCACTGGTGGTTTCAACACAGATTGCTCCAGTGAAGTGTCTAATTGGCCAAGACTTCCAGTGATTTAACAAAGAGATGCTAGAGTATATTTACTGGTTTTTAATTTTAGCAAACACAAAGCAGGCAAACGGTAACTACCAGTCTCTACAAATGTAACTTCATGCCATTGGAATAACAATTATATTTGCCAAAAAGCTCAGGCACTTACACTGGTTTCATGTGCATGCAAGGAGTTTTAACTGCCAATTCTCAACACTGGGTAAGACACAATAGTTCTGCAGCTCCAAAAGATCCATTTATTCCACAGTAATAAAACAGGCATTTGATCAGAACTAATCCAAATCCTGCTGTAGTTATTTCAAGGTATTTTAGTGAATTCCAGTCTCAGCTATTCCTTTCTTCTAACGAATGTAATTTAGGTCACTTGATAGCCTCATAACTGAATGACTGCCTGACTATACCTACTAAAAGCCTGATCATAACTACAAAGGCACAGATGAAGAAGCTGTATCACTCCTGCTTAAAAAGGCTTCACTTCTGCTTACCCCAGAAAGTGCATGCCAGAGACCACTCACTCTGCTAATGAAAATTCTTATTTCTGTGCAGAGGCTTTTAGGGACTTAGAGAGATACAGCTACTCTACAACATCAGCATGTACAGTCCAGAAATGCTAATTCCAGGAGGGATGTCCTGCAAGAGGGGAGCAATACCATGTGGCCTCTGAAGTGTTCACACAGATGTGACTGCGGCAGATTTACTGTCTCCTCAGACTCCCATTTGCCTCCTTGCCCTTCCCACTCTTTATACCCACTGTAAGATGCATATTTCCACTGTCTTTCCAGTTTTTAAAATAGTGTCCTAAGGGTAATGCAAACACAATGACATACCTAGATGCTTTTAAGAGCTGATGTCTCAGGAAAACAGATTAATAACACACTGAGATTTATGAGATTGGTCAACCATGCCTTCCAGAAATAAAGATGAAAATATGCAACATGAGTTCACTCATTTAAAAGGTGGAAGACTAGCAGGTCAGGAAAGACTGGCACAGCAGACCTTGTTTGTGCCTCAAGCAACATCCTATGTTGCAAAGAGGTTTTCTCTTTTGAATTAATTGCCTAAGGTTGGTGATTACCAAGGAGAACCTTCTCCTTGCATCAGGATGTGCAACAAACAGCAAAAATCAGAGGGAGATTACAGCAATGAGGAAGGACATGAATACCATGCAGAGCTCATTTGGCTGCTGCAGAAGCCAATTTGTTTGAGGGACGCGCCGTCACGCCTGCCACAGCCCTCTGTCCCTGCAAGCTCTGAGTGGCGAGACATGGCTGGCTTTGGACCTGTCTGACTTGTCAGGATTAAGCATCATCTGCAGCAGAAGGTGATGCATTTCACAGTCCCAATGGGCAGAAGGAAAAAGAGCAGGTAAAGCACATTCTAAAGTGTAAAGTTACTAGACATTAAACTTAAGATTAAAGTTAATTAAGCTTAAAGAAAAATTTAAAAAAATCTGGAAACGTAAAATACTCTGTTGAAAGAGTATTGTACAACTGCTACAAAAATGCTGCCTCTTATTTTTTCCTACGTGCTGGTACCTGACACCATAATCTGTGTGTCAGGCTGTTTGGAGGAAGGATGCGTGTACCTTCTGCAAAGGTGTACACCTCCTCCGAGCTCCATGAGCTCCACCGACTCTGCACGACGCTTTGCTGGAGTCAGACACTGCACCTCTGCACCAGGTCCCTGGGGGAATAAACTCCTACTAATAACTGGCTGTGTTTGAAGACGACAGACAAAAGAAAAGAGTCACTCCTGAATAAACAGGTGTAATTCATATGGGCTTCAAGCTCCTTACTTCAAATACAGATAACTGAAGCTTTCTTTGATACCACAAGAAGTGACTTCTCCCTCCCCCTCCTGAAT